TTTGGCTTCCTACAGTTGCAGCATTAGGTTATACATAAAAGATTAAGAAAAAAAGAAAGGCAATGTTGTCCCTCTGCTTATTTCTTACTTAATTAACCACCATGTCATGAAGACGTGTCAGAAAGCGGAGGTGTAGTTCCATCATTCTTGACCTCAGCACTAGATGGAGGTGAGTGGTCAGGGAAAGAGCCCTCAGTACCCACTGGACAGGAAGTTGGGTGAGAGAGCCAGTCTGGCCACTGTAGAGTAAAGAAAAGTCTCTTGTCCCTGCCAGGAATCAACCCCCACAACATCCAAACCCATAGCCCACCACTACACTGACTGAGCTACCCTGGCTCCATGATTATACATAAACTTTGTCTGAAACATATGTGACAATGTATAATCGTCACTATCAACATTATCCACAGACACAAATGTTGCTAATATCGTGAAGGGTGATGTTAGATTGTGCAGCCTATAAATGATGATCCTTAAAATCATCACATCAGCGACCATGGTGAACACATGGGAGTTTCCTTCCTTACTCAAAGTGTTAAGTACCCTCAAAGATAAGATCTAAAAGTTCATGACAATGATACATTAATACAATTATTCACTTTTTGGACGTTACCCATTACCTTCTTCTTATTCAAAACAAAGTTTCAGAGAATGGACTTTGCATCTGTCCCTCATACCTGAGGATGTAGACAGAGTCCAGTATCTGAAAAATTGTTTTAAATAAAAACTGGACTATTAATAATGTCCAGAAATTCAATACTTGTACCTTCAAAACTGTTTAAACAGACTATATATACATGTATACATTACAGACATGTAAATAAACACATCACAGTAACCTAGCTGCAGCAGACTAGGGATGAACTCAGGACAGCAGCATTGTGGAACATGCATATGCACTTTGAACACTGCTGTCAAAAATATAAGTCACATGCAAAACTGTGTGCCTCCACAGTACATGATTATAAATTTTGTGCAACAGGCAATTTGAAATGAAAAGTGAAAACAGCTAATAACTTTGTAAGTTTTGAGGTTTTCACGGCGATGACAATGAAGAAAGTCATCTTCTGGGTTTAGGCACCGTGTATTCTTCGTGTTGGCCGACGTTTCGGAGGAGGCGCTACGTTCCTCCGAAACGTCGGCCAAAACGAAGAATACACGGTGCCTAAACCCAGAAGACGACTTTCTTCAGCTAACAACTTTGTTTGCTTTCAACTATAAATAAAATGAAGTAAAGACAAAGTAATACATCTAAAATAATGGACAATCTTACTTCATTTTCTTAAAAAAAAAATAAAGGACAAATAATCGTCACTTCACAATGTTGTTAAGTTTACAAATATTTGTGTATATTTTCAACTTAAAATTACTCTCCAATAACCTCCTGAGATACTAACTATGAATCATAATGTATTATATTCCACATGTCTGTTAACAAACTGTAATTTTATATATTTAAACATCCTTTCTTTGCAGTTTCAAGAAACATATTTCATAGAGTCTAAATGTCACCAAAATCATTAATGAAATAAATATTCCTAATATTCTACTGGGAGACTGCATCAGTCTGGTATACTGAATTCATGCTATGCAGCATACAACAATATACAGAGTGTCTCAGGAGGAATGTGCCAGACTTTGGGAGGGTGTTCCTTATGTTAAAGTATGCCAATATAACCCAAAACATCTATGGCCAAAGTTGAACAGTTACGGAGATAATGGCCAGAGAAGTGTGAAACTTTGACAGGTGTTACACACTTGTTAATTATCAAATACATATTAAAACTGCCAGGAATATGTGGTTTCTGTAATGTTAATAATGTACATAACATCAAACTAACTTGTGAGTGACATGAAGTCATTAAATTTAACTACAAAAATACTCACACGGCATGTCATAGTTGTTGTTAGGATTCCAAGCACTATACATGACACATGACTGGCAAGCACTGATTTAACATTGCTGACTGCACATTCTGGTATGCCGCTAGTGTGACTCGTCATCACCACACTCAAGGACAAACACTGATAAGACTTGTCAGCTGACTGGTACAGTGCATGGACCCACCAGAAGACCACACTTTTCTCTGGCCATTATCTCCGTAACTGTTCAACTTTGGACATAGGTGTTTTGGGTTATATCAGCATACTTTAACATAAGGAACACCCTCCCGAAGTCTGGCACATTCCTCCTGGGACACCTTGTATACCAACTGCCTTTAGTGTGATTGAATACTGACACACTTCTTCCATGGATCCCCACATATATACATAACAGACATACACCTTGTGATTAATTATTGCATTCAAACTGTTTCACTTTGTCTCAAACAATTTAAATAATGTTCTTCCAATACAATATAAAGAATACATATTGAAGAAACACTACATTCCCATGACTTTCATGAATCTGCAACTGTAAAGAATGTACAAGGAAACAAACAGGTTATGAATATGTCTGCTGGCACAGACCATTCTAATATTGTTTCTGACACGAAAATTTTTAACCACAAGCGTAGTTTTCTTACTAAAATAATTCTGTGCTGAAGATTTAACCATGTAAATCACAGTGGTTACAATATATACCATCTCCTTTGACATAAAAAGAACTATGTATTTTGTATGATTCTCACAGTGAACATTAATTATTTCCCTAACAGTATTAATCCAGCGGTCTATTTAGCAGAGACATAATATGTTTCCTGTGAGGTACAGTCCAAATTGTTGTATATTATTTAGTAGGATTTCAGCCTTTAAAGGGTTAAACTGTTTTCTGCAAACTGAGGTGGAGTCACTTCAGCGGTTATCACGTCAATGTTTGCTGATGGTTGAATTAAAACGTCTGTGGAATGCACTGAGCATGAATTCAAGTTGTTTTCAAAGTGTACTGTGTGTGTGAAAAGCATAAGACCTTACTTAACCCTTCAAAGACCACTAATCACAATTACATATAACCTGTTTTAACATGCAAATATCTTACATTCTGCCCACAGAATATATTTATGAGCTTTGTATTATTCTCGCATAAATAATGATTATTTCTGTGAGCTTTTGGTTTTTGCGGTGGAGAAGAAATGTTTTTTTAAGGTAGGAAATTAATTTTTAAATGTTACTTAGATGAATTTTGGCCGCGCCATAGCTCAAGCGGTTAGTCGCTGGCTTTCCACCACAGCGGCCTGGGTTCAATCCTGGGTCTGGTCAAGTGGGATTTATGGTGGACAAAGTGGCACTGGGGCAGGTTTTCTCCAAGTACTTCGTTTTCCCCTGCCAATCTTCATTCCACCAATTGCTCCACAATCAACCTCACCTATCATCTGGGGCTGGTACAATAGGCCAGAAGTGGCCGCAGTACAAGTGACTTAGTCCCACCCCACTAACAATAAAAAAAAAAGATGAATTTTGAGTTTCAGAAGGTCACTGCACAGTAACACTTTCACTAATATTCTCAAAATTTATTTCACTCCATCAAACAAATCTCCAAAATAGATTTCTGAAAGCTTATTTCAGCTTGCATATCACAGAGATGGTATCAGATGGAAGAGACTGGAAATTGTATACCTTTTTCAACAAAGTTTTCTTGGGCAATAAACCATGTCAATATGGAGTTAGCATCCCATGTTTTGGAGACCATCACCATCTTCCATCATCAGGGGTTGATGTGATCGTGTTCCTACCGCACACTGTATTTGTACCACAGAGAATGCTCCTGGCTAACTCAGCATATATCACTGGGGAAACAGAACACTACAGAGTGCATGACTGCACTCATTGATCCCTCAATTTTATGCACTGCATCACCCAAAATCATACTCTGTCGTACAAATATGAAGTGCAGCCATGACACTCATCACAACAGCCCCTGATGATGCAGACGAAGTCCCTCAAACACCAGGAAAAAAGTAAAGGTAAAGTTTTCCTTGTGCTTAATTAATTATTCACCTCGCTACAAAGATGTAAACAGGAGTAAAGGTAGAGCTCCACCATTTTTGACCTTGGCACTAGATAGACGTGAGCACTCAACTTCGTGCCCTGGCCACTTTACCTGTGGGAAACAGTCACTGGTACCCATCTGATAGAAGGCTTGGTGGGCCCCAGAGCCAGTCTGGACATGATGGAGAAAAGAAAAATCTTACTCCTGCCAGGAATCAAACCTCAGCTATCCAATCCATAGCTATACTGACTCAGCTATCCCAGCTCTCAGTACTAACTTCATATTAATATGTATGATTACCCAAGACTTCACTACACACAGCTGCCATAAGAGCTTAAAATTATATATAGATACCTTCTGTGCTCATAACATGCAACTCAATATATCACATGTAAAAAGTTGCAATGCTTGTTCTGTGGTTATATTAACTATAACTGGGATTTACTACAGTCAGTAATACACTGAAATTTCATAAAATCATACACATAGATATATGCATACTAAATTAGAATGGTCGCAACTCAAAATGACACAGTTGCAATGCTGTAGTGAAAATAAAAATTGTACATCACTGTAGTTTACTAACTGTGAATTGAACAGCTAATGCAAATTTTGATGATCTAATTCCATTACACATTCAGAAACAAATATCACAGGATTAGCTCAATCTGAAACAACAGTATACAATGACTACAAATATGATCATGTTGCTTTGAATGTCATAATTATCTGAATAAGCAAACCTTATGTGGGGAAAACCCCCATCTTTGCATTTTCTGAGGTGCATTCTCAAACTCTACCTCCTGTGCCAGCTCAAAATGTAACCACTTGACAGTATACCAATGCAAAGGCTTTTTAATAGTTTTCTTACACATCTGCCAACAAAGTTCCTCAGTAACCATTATGTTACCATTAATTTTGGATCTTTCTTTTCAATCATGATCATTTTAAGACTGCTTTGCAATTATGGAAGAGCACTTAGCTTGTAATGCTTATATTTATATTTCTTATGTAAACAAACTCCGCTATTTGTCGGTGAAGTTAGTGCCAACTTTAGCAGATAGAGGGTGTCACATGGTCAGTGCAACAAATCCCCACGGTTGTCAATTTTGGTTTTCTAGACAGGATATTTCTTATGTTTCTATGTTAAAAGCAGAACCAGCACAACAGGATTCACTAGTCAAATGGCAACCTGGGTTACTTCAATTTTAGGAAAGGACGATTTTATGAACTTTTAATGAAATTTAATTTAATTTATACATGCCACAACTACTAACATGCATACATCTAAACACATAACAACGTAAATAAAACTGTTTTAAGAATAAGAACAACACAGACAACTGTCATCACAGTGTTTGTGTTATTAACTGTGATGAAGTTTTGAGAAAGTTAACCTGTTACTGACGAAGTGATGATGGGATTTCTCGCCATGTGAACTGGCAAATAGGCTTGTGCCATTAAAGTGATGTGTCTTAAAATGTGAGAAAAAAAAATATATCACCTGTATTTGTCTTACATCATCATTGAAATATGTATGATACATCACAGATATGTAAAAGAATTGTCTTGTACCAAGTAAATTACATCTTGAATATCTCATTAATATCTTACAAGACATAAACTTCATGCACATATTACTGTAAACTCGTGACCAAGAGAGTACAGCCGCATTACAAAACCTAACTGCTCTATCCACTAAGTAGCAAGTTACCAATCCACGCTCTCATCTTCTGAACACAAGAAATGTTCCAATGTTGAGTACATACTCTACCATTTCTCTTCTCTTAAGCTGCACGGACAACCAAAGTTTCCTTCATTTCAGAAACTATGAAGTGCAATTATTAATGTAACATTACTCTGATTAATAATTCCATAAATACATTTTACAGAAAGATTGCTTTTGATGTTCAGAATCCATTCATGTGTTGCAAAAGTTCCTTACTTGTGTATCTCACATAGGAGATATATAACATATACACAGACTTATCCAGTAAGGAAGATTTTAACATCCATTACTATACATCAGCTGTCACTACTCTTGTGGGGCAGCTACCCATATATTGCCAACAATGCCCATTATTATTACGGCTTACTGCTCCTAAAGCATCGACAATTGAAGAGTACCATATTCTTGGATGCGGCACTATGTAGTATGGTAGAAATTTATTGACGATTCAGAGTAAAGTGCAAGATGTTCCCTCTGAAAGGTCAGTAAACTTCTGCAAGACAACATGGCATCACATCCCAGAGACAGTATCTGCGTAGTCACGCTGGTGTGAGAACTTCAAATCTCACAATGAAAATTTAGTTGGAAATTCACCTTTAATGCCAAAATATGGGAAGCATATCCACATATTCTTGGACCAAGGATTGCATACGCATTACTTAACAATTCACCAGGCTTGGGGTGAGACGCTACACTTTTATAAATCTTTCCTTCTTAGATATAAAAAAAGCCGTGAAATTATCCCAAGTATGAAATCTAAAATTTCCTGCAGGGATATACACTCCCACGGATTTTTTTTTTTCAGGAAGGAAATTAATATATTTAAAAGTGCCAGAACTGCGTCTCCCCCGCCTTATCTCACTCCCCTGGTGCGGATGTCCAACGATCGAACTCTATGCCCGAGTCAGGACTGGTGCCGATTGCTAGCGGACTAAGGAAATGGGCAGGGCACTTACAGTCAGGATCAGTGCAACACCGAGCCTCAGCTGTTGTTGACGTGGTCTGGGCTACAGCATTGTCACTAACAGTCCCAGATTCTGATTTCATTTCCTGACTTTCTGTACCTGCAACAAGTAGAGTACATAAAATCACAAGACCAAGATTAAATAAACTCTTATTATCACCATATTTACAAACAGAGATGGCAGAAGCCTGAATGCCAAACCATAATCTACGCACTGAGAAATCCCTTATCCCCCCACCTCACTGCTGTTATAATTATTGAAACATACATATTTACATTACTGTGTAACATAATTGCTACACAATGGCTGAAAGCCACAGCAGTGGAGCCAGAAGAGGCGGCTGTTGCAAGGCAATGGCTGATAACCACACACCCACATCAAGCACGTGGGCCAACACTAGGCAACAGCTTGCATACATGTCATGCAACAATAGAGGATATGTTGGAGGTGATGTTTTCTATGCAGTCTGTCCTGAGGCTATATAGTGAGGGCCATCAGGAAAAGTTGCCAACATCTACAGCACACACCAGGACTCCTCAGTCTGTTATGCCTTCACCAGTCGCTGCTACGTAATGACTTCCAACAACAGAGATTCTTCTGCTTACATGCTCATGGCCAACCACCAACTGTGACTACTCACTCACAACTCATGACTACCTTGCCACAATGGTCATCATTACATAGCCTTGGCACAAACTGCACAGAAAACACAGCACCTTGTAATTCTTATATTGTCGTGTGGGTATCTGTTGACACAGGAACAAGTTTACCATGCCATTACCTAGCAACCACCATCTCTTGCAGCTCCACTATTCTTCCTTTCAGATGTCATGTCACAATATAATGAAGGAGTATGGGGGAATGGATGTATGGATCCACATTTTCTTGGCCTCGGCACTAGCTGTAAGTGAATGGTCAGCTTCACGCCCTGGTCACTTTACTCCCAGGGAAAGAGTCCCCAGTACCCATTCGATAGGGGGCTGTGTGGGCCCCAGGGCTGGTCTGGATGATGCGGAGAAGCACAAATTATTGACCCTACCGGGACCTGAACTCTGACCCCTCGGTTATCCAGCCCATAGCCAGCCACTAGACCAACTATGTCATCCCACATAATACGCACACATAATATTCAAGAAACAATGCAGACTCCCAGCGCTCAACATCACTGACCATCTCATCATCATCAGTAATCTGTCAGACACAGGTCCACAGTCTCTTCCAAAACAATTCCTCCACTTAATGCGATCTAGAGCTTTCTCCTTCAAATGACAGTATCCTCTTCTGTCCCCAAGGTCATCCAGCATCTTCTTACGTCTTCTTGTCACTTCTATCCACCCCTCTATCTTTCCTTCAATAACTTCTTTTAGAAGACAGTTTCTGCGTAAAACGTGACCAATCCAATTAGCCTTCCGTTTTCTTATTCCGTGTAGGATATTCCTCAGCTCAGTGACTCTAATTAACACTTCTTCAGTTCTCACATAATCGGTCCAACTGATCTTCTCCATCCTTCTCCAACACCACATTTCGAAACTTTCCAGATGTTTCTGATCTACTGCCCCAAGTGTCCATGTTTCAGCCCCATACAGAGCTATGCTCCAAATGTAGCATTTCACTAGTTTCTTCCTCAAATTTAAGTCCAATTTGCTGGTAAAAAGATTCTTCTTCTTGCTAAATGCAGCTTTTGCCATGGCAATCCTGGATTTAATTTCACTAGTACACCTTCCATCATCTGTTAACAAGCTACCCAAATATTTAAAACATTTCACATTCTCCAGTTGTTTTACGCGCCGGCCGCCCTTTACTCTCCGAGGAATATTCCTGGTACTCATTCTGTTAGAGGCTGAGTTAGTCCTAGGGCCATAGTGCGGTTGGAAGGATTAGGTCAATTGAAAAATCAAATTACCTCATCAGAAATCAAAACCGTAACCTTCCATCTTGTAGCATAGTGCCTCAAACAACTACACTGCCACATGCCCCTATATATGTACATAAAAAAGGTAAAGTTATCCCTGTAATAGGCTGTGAAGGCCCATATGGTTGTGAGGCGTCGAGGCTCCCACATTTTCTAGACAGTCAGCTCACAGATGGTAGTGAGATTGTCAGCCATCCTTCACCCCCCAGGAAGATTCCTGGTACTCATTTCTGTTAGAGACTGAGTCTACCCCATGGCTATAGTGCGGCTGGAAGGATTAGGTCAATTGAAAAATCCAACTCTGTAATTCTGTGCTGTTGTAAAATCTTGATAAACGTTATTCATCAATAATAAAACATGCTCATTTTACAAACGGGAAGTAGAAAAAGCTGCCTTTTGGAGACAAACTTAGGAAGCCATATATTAAAATAAAAAAACCTTGCCTCAACAAAAAGCTGCATACCTTTCGAAGATTTATTATTATCATTATCATTATTATTATTATTATCATTATTATTA